CACACACACACACACACACACACACACACACACACACACACACACACACACACACACACACACACACACACACATGCATGCACACACACACACACTCCTATAGAACTACCACGCCTCATATCCCTTTCCCTCCACCCTCCCCTTATGTGCTACTAGCAAATGCATACAAATGAGCATCGTTAAGAGAACATACAAATATAATTTGAAGATCTGAAGTGAAATGAACAGGAGTATGAAGATCTGAAGTGAAATGCACAGGAGCATACCTTCCCCTTTACTCTGCCTCCTGTTATAACGTGCAAGTGGGTCGTTAAGGCACACGGGGATGTGGACAGCTTCCGCTCAACTGCAACCAACGTGGGCAGCCTTGTATGTGCGAGGCATAGTAAGAGGAGCTGTTGCCCTGAAGAAACCCCAGCTAAACACAGTTCTAAATGGTTATATTATGATTCTCGTTGCTTGCTAAGAGGTGAAATTGTTTAATTGTTGGGCTGGCTCAACTTGAATCTCCTCGTCTGGGTGGAATAGGGGCTGTTGTGGTGGAAATTTAAAACAGACACACACACACACACACACACACACACACACACACACACACACACACACACAATCAGCTTTTTTGGTATGCCTGTCTTCTTGTTGTTGTCCATCTTTCCCCGGATTTTTTTGTTGTTGTTTGTCTTTCCCCTAATTTTTTCTAAATATTTTGTTGCCTTGCCTTGTGCTTCACTGCATGGTTGCTGCCCATCCGCTCACCCTGTCACCCCTTGCAGTGTGGTTGCCTTGTTAGTGTTGCCTTGTGTTTCACTGCGTAGTTGTCGCAATATGCCTCTGCTTGCCGTGTTGTTGCTTGCAGTGGTCTTTGGCATTGAGAACCTCTGTTGCCTCTGCAGCGTTGCCTGGCGCTTCACTGGGTTGCCACCCACTGCTGTGTTCCGTTTGGGGACAAGGGTCAAAGGGTTCACGACTCAAACAATCAACACGGAGATTCTGCAGATTGTAGAGGGTTCAGCCTCCTGATGAGTCGGTGCAACTCCAACAAAACAATCTATCATCAGCTTTTATTTTTTTCAGTCTTTGCCTTTGTTTTACTCGTTGTTTTTTTTTTCGGTTGCTGCTTTTGCCTTGTCGTTGTTTGACTTTATGTCGTTCCCTCGCCACCTTATGCTGTTTGCCTGCCCATCCACCTACCCCATGCCCTTCACCCGGTGTGCTTTGTGGTCTTGTGCTGTTTGCCTGCCCACGCACGTCCCCCATGCCCTCCAGCCTATGTGCTTTGCTGCCTCGTGCTGTTTGCCTTGCTGCGTGCGGTTTGTCTGCCCACCCGCCTCCCCCATGCCCTCCACCCTATGTCTTTTGTTGCACTGTCTTTCGTGCCTCACTGTTTTTTGCTGCTTGTTTGCCTACCCATCTCCACCGTGCCCTCCAGCCTATGTCCTTTTTTGTTTGTATTCAAATACTGGAGCTACATCGGAGTGTGTTTACACTCACAGCACCACACACACCCATTGGGGGCCTCCTCCGGTGGACTTCTTCCTGGGGCTGGAACCCCCAGATGCTGTGGTCTGTCCTCTGCAACAGCAGTGACAGGAGAGTTGCCTATGTACTTTATAATATAAAGTTTATATATACGTACTAGGGCGAATAGTTCCCTCAATCATAGCTCTTCCTCGACGGGCTGAGAAGTTCCACTGTCTCTTCTGGGTAAATATGTGTATGTTACTATCTGTTTGTTTGTTCGAGTGTGCGTAGTTCATGGGGTACAATGCTGAAGGGTGCGTAGTATCCCCGGACAGTCCACCATAGAGTTATGTGAGAATCGTCTTCACGTTTTTTAGTGCATGTGTCTCGCCTGGGGATTTCGTCGGGCGGAGTACAAGTTGTGTACTGGAGTTACATCGGAGTGTGTTTACACACACAGCACCACACACACACAGAACCAAAGGTATGTGGGGTTCACTTGAGGTGTGAGCAGGTGATGTACTGCTTTGCTCCATGTTGGATGTGTGGACTGCTTTGTCTGGGCTCCAACACTGCCTTGCTGGCTATCCCGGTCGCTTCCCATGCAGCTGGTGTGTTTGCTCTGTAGTGTGGTTGGTTTGTTGGTGCTGCGTTCACACTCCTGATGAGTCGGTGCAAGTCCAACGAAACAATCTTTCATCATTAGTTTTTATTTACTTATTTTCTAGGCTGCGCCATCGCCCGGCCAGGCACACCCCGGCCAGCTGGGCAAGGGGGGATCACCCGGCAAAACCAGACAGGTCAAAAAAGAGGGAATCTGGCCAGGACTGCGCTTTGCCTGAGCAGTCAGAATCTGGCCTTACCTTCCATTTCGGTGGTGAGTCACCGATGGGTGTTTGGGGGGAATAAAGTTACTCTAAGCAGTGACTAGAGGGGTTTAAAAGGGTATATCTTACCTCATATTTCCTCATTTATTTTTATCTTAAAATTAATAAGGATCTCAACAGCAAAGACATCTCTCCTCTTTTCTTGTTTAATACGTAATATCTGACAGAGACATAGTAGACTCTGAGAGGAAAAGTGGTAGGGCAAGCTGACAGTCAATCCTCCTTACAAGGAGCAATCAATGCTGGTCAGGGTTCCTTCGGCCAGACGGAAGGAAGCGTGAGGGGGTTCACCATGTATTCCATTTTCCGACTTGCCGGTGGAAAGGAACCGGACTGACGCTCCCCAGAATGGATATGGAGCCAGGACCATAAGGACCTGTTTATGTAAAAAAAAAAAAAGGACTTTCGAGGGGACCCTCAGCCAAAAGTTGCTTGTACTGCAATTTTACATAACATTTTCTTTTTCCAGATTTTCTTGATTTCTTTTAATTTTCTGTTTTTAATATTATGCGCTGGGACTGCCCAGGACCCTGCCCGGACCCTGCCCGTCCCGGGCTGCCCGGAATGGTACCCGGGCGACCTTCCCCCAGCCGGGCCACCCGGGGACCAGCCTAGCTTATTTTTGCTCTTTGCTTTTTTCATACTTGTACTTTTCTTGTTTTCGTGTTTGCTGCTTTTTGCCTTCACCGATCTTGCCTTGCTTGTGTCTGGCTCGCTAACTTTTGCCAGGGGACCTCCCTCTGAATGCATCATCATTGGCTGTGCATGGATACTCCTCCCCCCTGCACCCGCCCTTTGCCGAATCCCCCCGCCGCGCCTCCAAATGGCACCCCAGGTGAGCACAATCAGCTCTGCATTGAAGAGTGGTCATTTACTGTGTGTGCTCATGGTGACTTGGAAAAAGGTGTGTTTGGTGGCAAATGAGAGCAATCTAGGGAAGCAAACAGAAAAAGTGAGTTGCATGAGTGAAAATTTCAGAATGGATCTAGATCTTCTATTCTTACCGTGCCTCCCACACTTTCAAAGATCTCCATCTGTCCATCTCGCTCGATTGTTGCCCTGATTTGCTCGCTTCCGGGAGTGATAATGAAAGGAGCCTCTGCGTTGATGCCTGCTGCCTTGGCCTGCATGCAGTCGAACAGAATGGAGGGCCAGTGAAATGATTTGTTATGATCCTACTGCATCCATAGCGCACAACTCAAATTGCAAGAAATGCAAGACTGCTGAAATTCAAAGGAAGAGATGGAGAGAGAGAAAGCGTAGATTAGAAGAAGAAGAATTACACAAGTTACACCAATGTCTTCCCGCCACATCTTTCCTCCTCGTCTCTCCATCTTCTTCTTACTCCTCCCATTAAAAGTCAATTAAATGCAACAACAAATTAATGACTGAACAGGAATCATGTCTGATTGTTCTCCCTTACTGCCAGCAACTCAAGAGACCACCTTTCAGCCCTAACCCCACTTCTCTCCTCTTTGTAGCTCCTAGGGACATGGCGGAACATCCATATCCATCACGGATGTTCAAAGGACAATGCAAACACTACTACTCTAGTCCGATCTCCTCCCGCTATAGTCACACTCTCTGAAGATTTCCAAGGTCAACCGGGACCCACGCTGGGGGCTTCTTGATGCAGCACCAACCAAAGAACTGAAAATGAAGGTCAACCACAGCCAAGTTGAGTCGCTCTATGTCGGTTTCTCTCTCTCCCCCCCTTCTTCACCTCCTGCTCCCTTCTACTGCCCTCCTTCCTCTGGAATGGGGTGCTTCACTCTCTACCTCATAGCCAGGACTGCGCCCTACTACTACTCCATAGCCAAGGTCTTCTTCTTGACCCTCCTGCTTCCACCGCTCTTCCGGAACTCCGCCCAACTTCCCCCTCTGGGCAGAGCGGCAGCATGACCGCCGTTACCCCGCTCCACTCGTTACACCTGAATGATATAGTCTTGCACCCCGGCCTCACAGCTTCACTTAGGCTGAGATACTATGCCTACTGGGAGTTCCTGCCTTTTGGCAGGAACATTATTGCAGCCTGCAAGTCTACCTCAGGGCCTGAATCTAACCTACCAGACATTTAGAATTGGGCCTGACTACTCATGACATTTTTGTAAGCTACTGGGCCTGCCGGACCTTTGTTGGGCCTGCCTGAGCTGCTGGAAAATCAATCGCTTATCTTACTTTCCGTTCTATTGCCGGGTACTACCCGGCCCCTACTTGGTCCCTGTCTGTCCTAGCCTCTACCAGTAGTCCGTCCCATCCCAATTTCAGTCTTGGCCCTGTGGTTTCCTTATTCCTACTCTACCCCTCCAGGGAACACAGAAAACACCGGGCAAGCACACGAGCAGTACTCCGCATAGCAATCATCGCTCGGGGACTTAAATGCATGCACGCACACAGCGAACTCACGCAGCGCACAGGAATATCAGCGTTCAGTCCAGCAAGCAGCAATACTACTGAGAAAACAGCAGAAATCTCAGACTGATTTTGTGTGGGTCATTGCAGACAGATTAACTTGTCAGTAAGAGAACTGAAAATAAAACCCGTGCAAACACCAAAGCTGGAGGATTTTGCACCCGATTGAGCCTTAGAGACGGAAGGAAAGCAAACAAAAGCTGGGAAGGGTCAGGTAATCAAGATTCAAGAGTGTCATTCTCTGATTGCAATTACCAGCATAAGAGCATATGTTTATACACGACTCACAGAGAAAGCTATTCATCAAAAGTGTTGCTCTTTTGTTGGGAACCACCAGTATGAAGTCCTATTTTTTTATAAATGCCTAGCAGAACAGCAATCCAAAGAGACGCGACAAGAGGTGATCGTCAGAGGTCAAAGTGTAGTCAAGAAATGCCATGTGCAAAATGAAGGGAACGCTGGAGGACATTTCTCCAACACCAGCGAAGGGGGACAAGGGTCCTGGGGAAAAAGCAAACTTTTGAGGACGGTGTGAATCGCAAAATGACTGGAAACTCGCACTGGGAGCAAGCGGAGTTTTTAAATGTCTTAAGTCGAACAGACTGAAAATAGCGGGCTGACGTCCTTCGGGACATCAGTTAAAATAGAGAAGATTAGCATGACCCTGCGCAAGGTTGATACACATAAATTGTGTATCGCACGGCCATGCCGCAGCTAATGCACTGGAGCCCATCCAAATTCGGAAGAAAAATAGTAGGCTGAGAAAAATCAGGACACAGTCAGAGATGAATTAATTCTACCTGAGTCGAGCCACCAGCGATCATGGCAGCATGTCACTCGTCGGGAAATCTGGAAACAGCATGAAACTGGAAGCAGAAGCTGAAAAACTGAACGAAGATTCCTCTGTGATATCCATGCATAAAATGACTGAATGCAGCAATGAACACCAACAAGGGCAAAGTGGAACAACGGAATAACAATCCGCTCAGCTAAGTGAACATGGCCCAAGGAGAAAGAGAGGAAGGGAAAAATGGATAAGAAGTGAACGAAGTAGTAGGGCAAGAAAAAGGCAGGAAAGTAGCATCACAGACGGTGAAAAGCAGATAAGAGGGGGCTAAGAGGAGACAGGGAGGGAGATTCAGAGTGAAAAGGCGACGGAGGGAAAGGTAGAGAGGCTAGCAGCAGACATGGCCTTCAACACATGCCACAGCAAGTCAAAACCCATCCCTCACAAAGATCCCAAAACACATCGTACTTGCATCTTCAAGATAAGCCAGACTTGAAAATTTCTCCACTGGACGAAACCATACACGTCACATTAAATGTTCCCAAAAGCCTCACTTGTTTTTCACCCAGCTCAGCTCTTGCGGCCGAACAGCACGCACATGTTAGCGATGGGATCATGAGCTCAAAGTTCTAACTCTGATGGAATCATATTGATGGTAGGATACTATTGGATGCAATAATGTTAGGTGCTAACCTCTTCAAAAAGACTCGTTTTTATCTCTAGCTTTTCACCCCCTTTGGAGCATGGGACCCCTTCTGGCCCCTTGCCATTCGTTCATATGGCAAACTAGTTTCCTCTAACTAGCAATTCTCATGTTAAAAAAAAAAAAAAAAAAAAAAAAAAAGCAATCTTGTAAACTTTACAGGCCACAACCGTGGCCTGTACAAATACAGTCAGTTAGGAAACAAACCAACCAACCTGTCTAACGATACTGGCTGCTCGTGACATGTCCTCGTAGCTGCTGTTCGTACAGGATCCAATGAGACCTGCCGAGACCTCCTCTGGCCAATTGTTTGCTCTGACAGCATCTGCAAACTTCGACAGAGGGTGTGCGAGATCTGGTGTGAATGGCCCGTTGACATGTGGCTCGAGCTCAGACAGATTGATTTCAATCACCTGCACACAGCAGTAATGACACAAACAAGGTGACCAAGATGTCCATTGTCGAAATCATTTCACATTCATCATTCATCATCGTAATCACTATAATCATCATCATTATTCTTATATTGACCATTCATTGTTCATCATCATCATCACTACCACAACCATCATCATTGTTCCCAGTCATCACTCATCAAAACCATAACCATCTTTGTTTAAATTTAGTGTCCGTCATTTTTGTCCTCCTCTTCCTCTCCTCCTCCTCCTCCTCCTCCTACTACTACTACTACTACTACTACTACTACTACTACTACTGCTACTACAACGACTACTACTACTACTACTACTACTACTACTAATACTCGTCATCAATTCAATAATCATCATCGTCATTGTTTACATTCACTGTTCATAATCATAATAACCAACCTTCCTGTCTAGGAAGTAATCAATGTCGCTGACTCACCTTCTCTCGGCCAAAACAGAGGGAGCGTGGACTATGTTAGGATGTAAGGGCTTCTGGTCCCAAACTTCAGCAACATTAACAGAAATTCAGAATTCATGTTTTGCTGAAAAAAGAAACAAAAAAAAAAAAAGAAAAAGAAAAAGAGAAGACAATCAATGTTTCATTTTCATTAATATAACAAACAAGATTTTGGACATCATCGCAGCCAAAGGTTGCTCAGAACAATCTCTACACCACAAAATTATTTTTAAAAGTTTTTGGGAAAAAAGGTTTTTTTACTATTTTAGTAATTTTACTAGTTTAGTATTTCTCGTTTTCATGCACCCTGTCCTGTGCATCAGTGCAGTGCAGGCTGTGGACGCTGGGCCATATGTGTGCTTCACATATGATTCCATGGAATGAGTTCTGTTTTTGTTATTATTTGAAAAGTAGCCAATGTACATGTTTTCCAGTCGCAGAACTCGGCATTGGAGAAAATGAGGACTCTAAGCCAGACAACGAGTATGTGATAAAGAAAATCACAGAAGGCAAAAAAAAAAAAAAAAAAAAACGTTAGATCAGGGAGATGACCAGTGTTTTGCTGCACATTTTGCCGGAGGCAGTAGGTTGACTTCACCTTGTCGTACTTTGCACCTGGATCAGCACTAAGATTCTCCTGGAAGGATTCTGCAAGCTTGGCGATGGATTCACGCTGCACATCAAGAGAGAAGATGACACAACTGATGACATTTAGTACAATCACCAAACCACCCCTAATCCCTCTTGACCACTTCGTGACATTCAGTCCGCAGAAACTTTGCTTGCTAAAGGTTTTCCAGCTAAATATTTTGCTGCATTGTGATTGTCACTGAAGGTCAGGCCCGGTGGTGCTATGTTCATGCTTACAAAGCAGGAACTCGGTCTGGAAATGGCCAACGTCCATGCTAATGTAGCACAAAAATATCAACCTGAACCTGAGACATTGAGGAATGTCTGCATAGGGACAGGCTATTAAGACACCACAAAGGTTTCCTATGCATGTGCTCTAGCATGGGTATCGGTAAGCGTGCATTCTGAAAAGGGTAATTATGCAACCAAGGGAGAGCACAGGTATGGGTAAGCGTGCATTCCAAAAAGGGTAATTAGGCAACCACGGGGCCAAAACCACAAAGGGTTGTGCAAAGTGGATGCGGAGAAAAGGTTATGGAAAGGAGGCTATCCAAATCTGTTTATAGTAACTTTATACCATACTTGCGGTGCACCGGCACTGTGCGCTGTGCGCGGACCCAGGGTGCGCGCGCACTGGCGCGCGCCGCACGTCTGGGTGCGCAGTGCGCGCTTCGCGGTGCGCTGCGCACATCTGGTGTGCTGCGCGCATGTGCGCAATGTATATTTCCATGTTGTAGTGGTAGATTCATTTGATTTTGTTCTCTCTCTCTCTCTCTCTCTCTCTCTCTCTCTCTCTCTCTCTCTCTCTCTCTCTCTCTCTCTCTCTCCCCTCCCGACTTCTTCTGCTGCTTCCCACCATCCCACCTTCGGCCTTTCTCCCGCCTTCCGCCATCCGCCATCGCTACTTCTCTCTCCCTCTTTGTTAATATTTTTTTATGGTTTGTGACGCAACATCCCACTCGGGTCTAAAACACCCCTCCCCAACTTTTTTTTTTCTTTTCTCGACCCCTTATTTTCGGGGTGCGCCGCAACCCGTGCGCGCGCGTCGTGCTCTGTGCGCAGTGCGGCGGTGTGCCCGGTGCAGCGCACGTCGATGCGCCGCAAGTATGGTATATACAATAGACTCTATACGAGTCTATAGTAAATACCATTGGGCCACCAGGGGGGTACTGTACACAAATGTACTTACAGAGAGAACAGCTGACAGAAATGGTGATATCCTCAACGGATCCAAATTTGATCACGAATGAATCAGGTTGGGCACTGAACTTCCTGTCTCCCAAGAAAAATTGGCCACAAATCCATCCTCTTCAACACTCAACAAAGTCCTGCTTTGAACAGTGGATACCACTACTATGGAGGCAGACATTCACATCATATCACATCACATCTCAATAGTCATGCTATGTGCCATCGCAATTCCATCACCACAACCACAGTCGTCAGCACAAAATGTTTTATTGTTATCAACTGTATCCATTAACAACCCCTTTCTGATGGATTCAACCGTTTCGCACCCACCCACCTTGGTGGCCACAAGATAGTCATACATCCTCTTGTTGAAGGGAAACACACTGGTTGTTGCTCCGATCTCAGCTCCCATGTTGCAGATTGTACCCATGCCTGTGCAAGATATGGCATCCACTCCGGGCCCAAAGTACTCGACAATGGCGCCTGTGCCGCCCTGGGAAAACAAAACGAAAAGCCAGCTTCAGCACGACATCTCTTTTCGTTCCTATCAAAGCGAACACCAAACTCACACACTCTGAGAGCATATAGACAGTCAAGGAGCAGATGGACGGTCGAAGTGACAATAGAAACGAACGCCCCAAAACAGAGGGTAACACTGACAGTCAATGCCAGCAACAGTGGATGGGAGGCGAGTATGATTGGAAGGGTTACAAATAGATGCATCCAGTTTTAGTGAGTCAGAATAGTCATAACACCAGCAGAGGACGACCTGCTAATGCGACCCAAGGACGAGCTCGGCAAAAACATCATCAGAGCAATGGCTCCATCATCAAATGAAGCCGGAGAGACGTTCTCTGTTCAAGTGAAGGTGACGAGTGAAGATGTGGGATTGACGTGTACAGTACATAGGTGAAAAGTAGGACATGGATAAGTCACGTCCAGAGTGAACAAGAGGAGAGGAAGAGAGTGGGACAGCATGTCAAAGGTCTGATAAGTAAGCGAAAAAGGGAAATACAGCTCCTCCTCGCAGCAGGGGTGGCATCCAGAGCGAAAAGTTCAGTCCATATGACTTGCCAAAGGAGAAGGAACCCGCTACCACCCCACAGAAGAGAGTCACCCAGAAATTGAGCTTTGTGGGGGGGGGGGGGRGGRGAGGRGGGGGGGGGGATAGATAAACAAAGTTCAACGAACACATGAAACTTGCTCCCACAGCAAGGGGGGAGCAGTGGGAGCAATGGGGAATGAAGAGTGAGGAGAAGAAAGGGGAGAGAAAGCAAGAGAAGAACGAAAGGGATAGATGAGGGAGAAATGAGAGACACAGAGAGAGTTACAGAAAAATGAAGCGAGGGAGCCACGAGCCACGAGCACAGGAGAGAGAGAGATCGTGATAGAGAGAGCCGGAAAGGGTAGACAAGAGAGGAGAGAGGGACAGAAAACAGAGACAGCCGCAGAGGCAAGACAAAGGCGACATACCTTGACTGTTAAGATTCCTGCAAGTTTCAGAATCACGTCCTTTGGTGATGTCCAGTTTGACAACTTCCCAGTTAGCTTAACACCTATGACTTGCGGCGCTTTCAATTCCCATGCCAATCCAGCCATTACATCAACAGCATCAGCTCCACCGACACCAACAGCACATGCACCTAGACCCCCAGCATTGGGAGTGTGGCTGTCTGTACCTATTATGAGGGCACCAGGGAACGCATAGTTCTCGAGAACAATCTGCAACAACGATAAAACACGAACAGAATTGACAAACGCACAGGTGTAGAGCAGACAGACAATTGTCATCCTACAGGCCAAGTGAAGAAGTTCAAAAAAGAGCGACAAGTTTTGAATCTTCTGACCCCAGAAGCTGTAGCTGTAGCCTGCAGTGTCACAAATCCTCCCCCCCGACCCCCTAAAAAAAACAGAAAACTTAGAAAACGAAAGGAAATAAATCTGCAAGCACTCTAGCATGTACAAAACATAGGGTTTTGTATACCATCCACCCACCAAAAGTAAGGTTAAAGACTGGATATCTCACTCAGAGGCCTCTTTCAACACTGCATCAAAGTGTGCAATAGACTTGCCAGACCACAACGGAACCATCACAACCACGCTTTCACTTGAGAAGCTAACAAGTCTGTGAAGCATAATCAGCTCAGCGTTTCCCTGCATGTCAAGGAGGAGGATAAAACGGATGCGGAGAAAAAGCGCACCTGGTGGATAATGCCACTTCCTGGTTTCCAGAATCCCATTCCATACTTGGCCGCTGCTGTAGATAGGAAGCTATACACCTCTTCATTCGTCATCTTCGCTCTAGCCAGGTCTGCAGGCCCACCAAACTCCTTTCCAGCCGTCGTTGCCTGAATCCCCCTCAAGCATTGCAAAGAACAAGTGATACCAGTTCACTTCAGAAATGAACATTTTGTGGGCTGCCATTCCATTTTACTATAAATAGGATAGGAAGGGGGTCAAGTGTCCACTTTTGACCATTGTGATGGGAAAAAAAGACCATTCATTCACTTAAACTTACACTAAGGATAGGGATAGAGGTATATGATGAAACAAACACAACATCGTTTATGAAAGGCATTCCACAACGCAGACCCCAAATTCAAATCTCAGGGTCAAAGTCCCTAGGCCAAAAGAGGCCAGGTCGGCCTGTTTCAGGAAGGTTGTGTCGGGTGGTACACATCCCGATGGCAAAAGCCACGTCTCATAGTCAGAAGTCGTGTCCCACAGGCAAAAGTCACATCTCGCAGTCAAAAGTCAAATTCAACAGGCAAGGGTCACGACCAACAGGCAAAGGTCACGTCCCACAGACCCAAAGCTGCAGCACACCATGGAATACTCAGGAAGGTACCAGGCCTCAACACTCTGAAGCAAACAGGCTGCGGGCAGCCAGTACCGGGTCCAAGTCAAGCCAAGAGAAGCAGAGGCTGGGACGAATGAAGGCTCGGTCCAAGTCAATATAAGGACTGGCCAGCCACAATTCGGACAGATTGCTCATTCGCAACAAGTGTGGAAGTGCTGCTGAGGCGCTTGTGTGCTATCTGCGAGTAGCTAGCGCCAGAGCCCTGGCGGGGCAGCGCTGTGCTGAGGAAGGAAGGCGGCCATAGCCGCACAGCTTAGTAGGAGGAGAAAGAGCTGAGTAGTAGCAGATGTATTCAGAGCCAAGGTCTTCAAGTAGAGAGAGACAAGAGAGAGAGAGAGAGCAGAGCCAAGGTCTTCAAGTAGAGAGAGACAAGAGAGAGAGATAGAGAGAGGGAGAGAGTGAGCCCATGCATGAAGAAGACAGAGAGAGAGAAGTGAGGCAGAGAGAAGAGAGAGAGTCACCTACCTTGTATGAGGATGCTGGATATGGATTGCTGAACTCTGCACTGTGGAGCGCTTGGTGACAGGAACTCTGAAACTGTTTAATATGATAATTCGTTGGATTTTCTAAGCTGCGCTATTCTGGACTCTGCAACTCTGGTCTCCAGTAGGGATTCCGTGTGATCTCTCCAGATGACGAACATCGTGGTTCAATGTGTTTGACTGCATCATACATGGATGGGAATGTGTCGGGAGTGTGTTGGGAGTGTGTCAGGAATGTGTCGGGAATGTGTCGGGAATGTGTCGGGAATGTGTCGGGAATGTGTACTCCATTCCTACCGGAACAGTGGGTACGAAAAATTAACAAGGGAAAAAAACTGCTCAGCGTTGAGCCTAATCTGTCAGTATGCCCATAAGCAGGAAAACTGGGGACATGCTGTAAAAGTCAAGATTCCTGGTTTGCCAAATTGTAAAACGACCACCAACCTAAGCGAACAGTGGGACACTCAATACCCAAAAAGCTGCTAAGCTCCCAGTCTGAGGTACGAAAGCCCCGGCTAACCTTTCAAAAAAAAAAAAAAAAAAAAAAGGAGAAAAATTTTCAAAAAAAGAAGCTACTTCCAAACCAGCTGACTACATACCTCAATAAGGTGATCACAATGGATCGTGGTTGGAACAGCTGTCCTCTGAAGTCCGGAGGATATGAACTGCATCACTGCCATTTGGGCTGTTGCATCTTGCATGGCAACACGATCTGCCCACACACCATGATAACCGAAACGAAGTACAGCGAAGGAGGCGAAGAAGGACAGTGCATGCATGGTCAGTAGAATCCAGCAATAAATTCATCCCGAATTCCCAAAATCATTGCACACTGGACAATTTAACGAGTGAGATATAGCACTTGATTGGTCAAACCCATTGACAAAAAGCATCAATTACATTCACCTCCATTCAGGCAGTTCATCCACTCATCCCTCTATCCGCCCATGCCTGTTCATCCCTTCTTCCATGCAGACATCCATCTTACCACCATCCCATCCATCCATCCATCCATCCATCCATGCATTCACCCATCCACTCACCCATCCAAAGTATTGCTAAATCCTTCAAAATTCAATCAAACTCCGAAGTGATCAAATTCCAAAGCAATCAGATTTGGCAATTGATTTCCAATACAATTGAATCAACCGATCCAACGCAGCGATTTTCTTTATTTTATTTTTCCCCAAGAACAAATCCAATCCAATCAAATTTCAAATTCAATCATCACTCCGATCCGATTAACTTCTAATCCAACCAATCAGTTTCCAATCCACCCAACCAATTTCAATCCAACGAATCCGATCAATCAATCTGCGAGAGCGAAAGAGACACTTATTTAGGCCCCTGAGACCTCCCAGGTTTCTAGCCTTGGCAGCACAGATCGTCCAAACCTCACCTGACACCCACAAGGTAAGATTAAAATAGCCCTGCCGACCCGAATTTCAAAGCCAAGTTTTCAGCCCTGAGAACTTTCTTCAAAAAATAATCCTTAAGCCCTTAAGCCCTCAGAACTTTCTTCAAAGACAGCAATGATAATCACACCAGAAAACAAATGCATCGCCACTGGACATGTGGGACGAGTAAAAATGAAGCATCATACGCATGGTAAAAGGCAGCTCTGAAGTAGGTATGATCAACCGCTCGACTTACCAGGACGCAGTTTGAGGTAAGACACCCCCCGTTTCGGGATCTCAGAGGGATCATCCAGGTGGCCATAAACAATCTTCTCTGACAGCGTTAATGGCCGATTCAGGTTGTTTCGTACAATCTGGAGGAAAAGCAGAATCATAGCAAAGCATCAACAACATTCAGTTCCCAGGACCGCACGCGAGAGAGAGAGAGGGAGGAAGGGAGGAAGGGAGGGAGGGATGGGAGAAGAAGGGAGAAGAAGGGAAAAGAAGGGAGAAGAAGGGAGATAAATGGAGAGAGACAAGAAGAGAGATGGAACGTGTCTACTCAAGAGTTGAACATACAGTTATAGGTATATGAACATTGAAGCTCTCATGGAATTCCTGTACCCTGAAGCCCATGAACCATGTGTCTATTTTTTACACCACCTGGCACCTTAGCCATTTCCTGTCATTGACTTGCATTAACAAAAAAACCTCTATAGGGTATGGAACAACGGCAACATTGTCCACAGCTCATTTTATCCAAAAGCCTCCCTGAACTTACTCCATCGTCTAGGTGGTTCAAAAGCAAGCAAGTTTAAGCAACTTATCTCCGCTAGGGTGGGTGTGAAAAAACTTAGTCATGAAATGACCAAACCAAGCCTGCATGGTCGCAGTCGACAGGTAATGAGTCCGAGAAACCACAGCTCATTTTATCCAAAAGCCTCCCTGAACTTACTCCATCGTCTAGGTGGTTCAAAAGCAAGCAAGTTTAAGCAACTTATCTCGGCTAGGGTGGGTGTGAAAAAATTTAGTCATGAAATGATCAAACCAAGCCTGCACGGTCGCAGTCAACAGGTAATGAGTCCGAGAAATGTGAAACGAGTCATTGGTAAGGGCTATTTATGCACAACCTACGTCTGACAATCAATACGGGAAATGTCCAGATGCCATGAGCACTTCATAAACATTGCGATCGTACGGTCACTCCCAATCTGTCTTGAGGGCCGCAATCAACAATTACGGCATATACTCATGCTCATCATTCACCCCACCATCCACTCACAAGTGAAGAAGCTAAGGAGGGGGAGAAGAAGAAGAAGCGAAGGAGCAGGAGGAGGAGGGGAAGAAGAAGAAGAAGAAGGAGCCAAAGAAGAAGGTGAAGCAGCGAAGGGGGAGAAGAAGAAGAAGAGGGCTGGTGGAGGACGGCGGGAAGGGGGGCTCGAAACGGGGGCAAAGAAGAAGAAGAAGAAGCGAAGTAGAAGAAGAAGAAGAAGAAGAAGAAGAAGAAGAAGAAGAAGAAGAAACAAAGACGACGACGACGAAGAAGAAGATCTCTCTCTCTCTCTCTCTCTCTCTCTCTCTCTC